CTACTTGGTGATGGCACTCTACTTGGTGATGGTGCACTACTTGGTGATGGCGCACTACTTGGTGATGGCATACTACTTGGTGATGGCGCACTACTTGGTCATGGCGTACTACTTGGTCATGGCGTACTACTTGGTGATGGCATTCTACTTGGTGATGGCGCACTACTTGCTGATGGCGCACTACTTGGTGATGGTGCACTACTTGGTGATGGCGCACTACTACACGGCAGTATTATTGAGTTTTTCATATGTATTATGCCCAAACAAACAACCGCAAAAAGCATCCGGCTTATTCAGTGCTCTTTTTATTTTTGGCAGAGACAGGCGACAGCTACCCTGGGTGCCAGGTGTTGTGACCCGTGATTTCTTTGAGGGTGCCGAGCCAATGACAAGCCAGTTTAAATCTACCTAAGCCAGAATCTGGACTAGAAAGCTGATTGGCTCCTAACGACCTCCCTAGGATGTTCTAATCTGACAGACACGGTGATTGGTTTCTAAGAATAGAGGATGTGAGCCTGTGATGTGCTAGAATGGTAATCGCTATGTTTTGGTTGTGGTGGACTTGCTCACCCCTGCAGCGAAAATGATACCCATTCACGGCAGGCAAAACTGTAGCCAGTGCTCTCATAAGGGACGTTTACTGTGGACGTGGTATCCCTGAGTCAATGTTGACAGACCGTGGCTGCGAATTTGACAACCAAGCCCTAAGCGCAATTGCCCGAGAATTCGGCATTGACAAGAAGCGTATCTCGGCTCTACATCCCCAATCCAATAGAATCGTTGAGAGGAAAACAACAGACTGATGTGGAGATAACTGAGATTTAGAGATTCCTTTTGTGCAGTTTCACTACATGAATCACCACCACAGTGCCACTGGTTACTCGCCATTCTACCTGTCCTATGGCTATATCACCCTTGCACCACGATTGGTTCTTGCACCACCTGCCACATAGCGCCAGCAAACAGCCCATCAGTGGGCATCAACTCTGGCCTCGCCTCTCAAATTAGTGCATTCTGGAACTGTCACTCGTGACTTGCAAGCAAAGCAAAGGAGAGTTGTTAGATGTCCTCAGGAGCCAAGTCCACTTTATGTTGGGGACTCTGTTATGATGTACGCTCCCCGTCGACCTGGATACCCTACTAAGTTGCAGAGTTGCTGGTAGGGTCCCTACATAGTTGCTGGAAGGGTACCTACCCTATCTAACATGCTAAAAATTTCCAGAAAAGGATACTGCGACACCGTGATCAACTTCGTGTTCTTCGTACACGCCCAAAAAGGTTACAACCCACTCACAGTGAGACCCCCACTGACCCTCCCTCCGTAGTCCCTGCTACTGTTTGTCCGGGAGCTACTGTTTCTGTGTCACTCCTATCCAGCCAAGTGAAGGACACTGCTAATCCTGAAGATACCGCTTCTGCCCTACACCAATCTGGCCAAGTGAAGGACAGTGTCATGCGGGAAGATACCCCTTCACAAAACACACAAACCAGAGCTTCTCTAGGCCCCCGGAATAACATTGCTCCACCAAGTGTACCTACTGCTCACTTAGAGAAAGGAAGTGTACCCGAATCGTGCCCAACATTACCTTTGGAACTTCGTCGGGATGAGAGGTCTCGCAGGCTTCCCCAAAGATATGGAGACTGGGCACTGAACCCTTCGGATGATGACAGTGATGTTTACTTTACACAGTGACATATAGTTACCCTAAGAGCGTAATTGTTTTGTTAATTTTGGTTAGGAAACTGATATTTCTCAAGGGGGAAAGAGTGTGACAGTCCTGAGTGACGCGGCAATTACGTCACTCCCATGAGGGAGAGACTGAGTCCGAGACTGAGTCTTCTCGCGGAGAGCTTCGTGTGTCGAACTCTCTGTTAGTTATCTTAGGTTTTTGGCCCTTTAGTAACGTCTACACAGTGATCTTAGATTATAGCGTTTGCGGGTTCAGTAGCGTACGTCAGTGTAACGTACATAGCTGCCGCGTATGCGAGTCAAGGAGCGTGACAGCAGAGGTCGCGAAGACGGCGTTTGTGACAGCAGCGTTTACGAGAGCAGTGATCGTGACGGCAGTGTTGGCGAGTCCAGCGTATGTAACCACAGCTTTTCGGAAGACCAATGTTCACGAAAGCCGCGGTTGTGAGACCAGCGTACGTGAGAACAGTGTTTGTGACAGCATCGTTAGCGTGCAAAGTTGTCATAACGCCAGCGTTCCGTGTATGAGGCCCTACACCTGACAGCGGGGTTTTCGAGAGCTTGCTGCGTTTAAAACTGCAGCGAGCTGAGTGCGGGACGCGATGGCAGCATGTGCGAGTACAGATATGGGGTTTGCTGCGCGCGTGAGTTCAGCGACCGTGACAGCAGGTTCGTGTTCCGTGAGCGTGACTGCAGCGTTAGCGAGACCAGTGATCGTGACGGCAGCGTTGGCGAGTCCAATGAACATGTGGCAGTAGTGTTGAGACCAATCTTCGTGACAGCAGCCTCGACGAGTCTAGCATTCACAACAGCACGTGGGGGTCCAATGTTCGCCACAGCAGCGTGTCAGAGTTTAGCGGTGATAAAAAACAACAGCGTTGGGGAGTCCAGTGTTCGCGATCACAAATTTCAGCGAGTCTGGCATCTGTCATGACAGCGCTACCATTGTGGTGGAGAGAGCTCGAGACGGCACTTTAAGGCAGTCCGGCTTTCGGTACGGCAGCAGCATTTCCGTTGTTCTACATTCTGTACAGCAGTAATTTGGGAGAATAGTGCTCCTGACAGCAGCATGTGGGAGTCCAATGTTCGCGACAGCAGCGTTTACGGATTCGGTGTACGAGACGGCTGCGTTCTCGTATCCAGTGTTTAAAAAAGCAGTGTATGTAAACTCCCACAGAAGGTGTTTGCGAGTGCATGCAGTGCTCATACCTGCGGCGACTGCGAGACGTGACGGCAGCGTATGCTAGCACAGTGATCGAGATTGCAGTGGGTGTGCAAGTCCAGTGAACGTGACATTCAGTGTATGTGATAGCAGCGTACGTGACGGCAGTATTTGGGATGCCAGTGTTCGCGGAAGAAGTGTGTGTGTATTGTGTTCGTAACTGCGGCGTGTGCGAGTTCACTAATCGTGTCGGCAGCGTTCATGTACCGTGTTCGAAACTGCGGCGTGTGCGAGACGTGACAGCAGCGTGTGCAGATACAGTGAACGAGGGAGCGGCGAGAGCGAGTTCGGTGATCGGGGCCAACGGCGTTCGTGTGCAGTGTACTTAACTGCAGCGCTTGCCAGTCCAGTGAGCGTGACAGCAGTGTTCGTGACGGCATCCTGTGGGATGCTAGTGTTCGTGACAGCAGCGAGTGCGAGTTGGTAATCGTGGTAGCGGCGTTCATTTGCAGCGTTCGTGACTGCAGTGTTTGCGAGGCGTGACGGCAGCGTGCAAGTATAGTGATCGAGGTTGCCACATGTGCGAGTTTGGTGATCGTGGCAACAGCGTTCGTTCGTGCAGCATTTAGGAGACTACAGCGTTGGCGAGTCCAGCATCTGTCACAGCAGCATTTGGGCAGGGAGTCCAATGTTCGCCACAGCAGCGTTTGCGAATCCAGTGTACTTGAAAGCGATTTGGGATGCCTTTGTGCGTGACAGCCGGCAGCAATTGGGAGGCTGGTATTAAATCTGGTCTACATCAGGCGCACCCCATTACGTGGCTGAGGTTCTTGCGAGTGCAGTATTCGTAACTGCAGCGTTTGCGAGTCCCCTGTTCCTACCTTTAGTGTTCGTGAGACCGGCGATGTTCGTAACAGAAGCGTATGTGAAACCAGTGACAACAATTGGGAGTCCAGTGGTCGCTACAGCAGCGTTTGCGAGTCCAATGCATGTGATGGGAGCATTTGGGACGCCAGCATGCGTGACAGCCGGCAGCAGTTGGGAGGCTGGTATTAAATCTTGTCTGCATCAGGCGAGTGCGCCGTTCGTGACCGCAGCGATTACAAACCCCATTACGTGGCTGAGGTATTTGCAAGTGCAGTATTCGTAAATGCAGCGTTTGCGAGTCCCCTGTTCCTACCAGTGGTGTTCGCGTGTCCAGCGAAGTTCGTAACAGAAGCGTGTTTGAAATCAGTGACAGCAATCGAGGGTCCAGTGGTCGCGAGTGTGGGTAAGTCGGTACCAGCGGCGACTACGTATCTGATGTCCGGGTGACAAAGACAGGGTTGCGAGGGCCGTGTACATTTGAGACAAGAGAGATACCAGCCGAGTCTTCGTAACACCAATCCTGAGTTCGAAACAGAAGCGACGGCAAAGCGAGTCTTTGGTAAGTGCAACATGGCGAGCGGAGTAGATATAGAATTAAGTTGGACATCGATCCTGCTCGATCTGGACGAGCGAAATGGTCGTGATGTTCGAAGATGCCATCGCGTAGGTGTACGCAAAGCTGAACAATCGAAACGGCGAGCGAACCGAGCGGAAATAGCAAAATGCGCAGGAAAACCCGGCGAACGACCGCTACGCGTATAGACCCAAACGTGGAGACGAACGTACCAGGCGAAACGCCCCACAACTGAGAGCGAGAGTGAGGTTGAATAGAGCCGAGGCCTGGACCTTCCTTCGCTAAACATTAACTTCTGTCAACGAACTTGACACCAATTAACGAAAACACTGTATCCCAGAGGTCTTCGTTTTCCCGTTCCGCCGGCCAAGGGTAACGAAGGCTCTGGGAACGAGATTGGTCGAACTTATGTCCGGCTACAAGGCAAACGGGCGCTTACTAAGTATGCGTTTCTTAAATCTATCGTTTGACACATGATTGGTCAACGAACTTAATGTTCCCATGGGAATCGTTTTTACAGGCTTGAATTTTCCATTTCTTTTCCACTTTTTGGATAAATTAACCTTTCTCTATCGATCTGGCCCCGGTTGTTCGAAAGGTGGATAACAATATCCAAATAATTCACTATCCGCTGAATAAGTGTTACCAAAACAAACCACGCTATCCGCTATTCGCTGTATCCGGTGAATAGCGTGACCCACCCCTCGAACAACCCGGGTCTGATTGTTACGTACACGTTACGGGAAAAAAAAAACATAAGCTCCGTGACGGTGGAGTTAAATCCGTGACAGTGAAGTTAAACCTACAATCCCGGACAAAAGTGGGACAGTTGAGCTGGATCACGTATCCCCCATCCCCCCTAATCAATGTTGGAAAATGTCGCGTTGTTTCAACAAAACGGGAAAAATCACCTGATTATCAACATTGTAAGTAGGGGGAGGGGAGAACTTGCTTCGTGTCCTAACGTTTTGGACTGGGATTGTCTGAAAGAAGAATTTAAGGAATGTCACACCTCTCGTTGTAACAAAGGTTGGAGGAAGAGGGAGTTGTACCGTCTCGCGGGGTACAGCTAACCAGCGCTACCAAAAAGAAACAGCTTGCAACGACAAGTTTTACCTGACCTCAGCCCGTAAAAACGGTGGAGCGAAAAAAGGAGGGGCTGGGTGCAAGCATTCGTTCTGCACCCCAACTAACTGAACACTGGAACTCGATAAAGCTCACCCGGGGTTAGCGAGAATTTTGATTTCACTTTTGTAACTTTTCGGTTAAGTTTTCTGTTTTATTGTTTGCCGTTCAATTTTAAGTTTGAATAATCTAAAACTACACAAAACATAAGTGAAAAACATATTTATACTAGAAAAATTAATACGTCAGTTTACTTTTAATCCTGGGTTAGCGTAACCCGACTTCCAAGATTCACAGCAATAAGTGAAACACGCGCCCGATAAAGTATAACTTAAAGCGTGAAAATAATTTTGTTCGATCTTTTTTGGTACTATAATATTTGAAGCATATCAGTTATACAGGATTTTTGTATCATCTACACTTCTGTCAACTTGAACAAAAAAAAAAAACCAGCATTCCCCAATACGGTCGAATAAACTAGCTCAATGAACTATTTACTTTTATGGCTCTTTTATAATTCTGCTGTAAATTAATGCGTGTGCAGAATTCTCTTTTTCAATTTGGGCCAGTTTTCCGTTTAATATAAATTGCAATACTTTTGCATGGCTTGTATAAATAGCTGTAACTTATTCTGGCTGTTTTTGTTTTATATATCTCACTTAGGGAAAATGTTTTCCTTTACTCGCCCCTAGCACTATTGTCCGTTCTCACTTTGTCGTCGCAGCAAATTCAAGGCGTGGGTTTAACTTTCTGCGCACACATTTGTTTGCTTTTTCCCATTACCAACGTCTTTGGAAATAGTGCAATATTACTACTTTCACTTCCTCATTCCGTGAATTTTGCCCCTTCAGTCGGAATCAGGTGGTTAGTGTGAACTCTTCAAGTGTTAACTTCACAGTCAGAACTATCCCATTTCCTTTGCTGCTAGGGAAACACGAGACGTCTGCAGCCCCAAAGAAAGGTGTCTGGTAGTGATTCTAGATCCCGCCCAATTGTCAAACTTGAAACAAACAGTTCAGTTGAAGCCAGCGAACAGGTTTGAACGATCACTTCGGTCATTAATTTACGTCGTGAATCTCTTGGCACTCTTTTCAGTGAAGGGACAGCATGAAAAAAGCCCTTTCATCAACTGTTTAACCGGGTCCGGTTTTAGGATTCCCTCGTGCTTAACTCGCAAGCAGTCGATGATTAAATTACTAGCTCGTATCCTTGTTACATTTTACCTTGATTGCTTCTTCTTGGCGTTCAAACAGAACGGAAGTGCTGACGCAGTACAGATGTTCTGCCATTTCGCGGCACCAATGTCTTTACGTCACAACCAACCAGCTTTTCTTCGTAATCATTGCACACCACCTTGTCGCGAATAGCAGATCACAATCCATTGGCGTAAGTTACGCTGTTGATGGATTAACTCCTCGATGAATGCTGTTCGAGAGCCCGTTTTTCAGTGCTTTATCCACTGCGATATCGGCCAACACAAGACTCCGTATGATAACATGTTGTTAACCCCAAGGTTTTGTCACAGCAAACATGACCAGAGCCAAGAATATTAGAAACAGAGACAGTGCCAAAGCCTTGTCACGTGGTTCGCCTTGGTAAGCTTCAGTCAGTACCAAGAACAGCTCCTCCTTGCATACATCTCTGTAACATATTCCACTCTGATCCGCAGTCCTGCGAGTAACAGGAACAACAAGCGTCAATTTAAAGCAAGGACTTTGTTTTTCTGAAGGCGCGGTTGCCTCATGGTTAGTGCGCTCCGGATCGAGCGGTCCGGGTTCGAGTCCTGGCCGCAGTTGTGTTGTGTTCTTGGGCCAGACATTTTACTCTAATAGTGCCTCTTTCCACTAAGCTACGTAAATGTTTACGGGTGAATTTAATGCTGGGTTAGACATAGACAGAGACAGATTTTTTAGGACAATTTTGTCTTACGGGGAAAGGCGCAATGAGGTTAACCCTATGTGAAGCACCAACGTGTGAGACAAGGCCACACCACAACACCGGAAACTCCGTGCCCTACTCCTTGCGATGAGAGTGTGAGTTCTTTAACGTCCCCTGCTAAACATGTAACACTGAAGATGAAGGAGACGGGGCCTACGGTTTATAGTCCTTATCCGAGAAGACTTAAACGTCTAACCATTTGCAGATGCTCATGTTATTAAAAAAGGCAGCACGTTCTCCTCAGTCATTTTAAGACCATGAGAGTTGGTCCGGGGAGGGTAGAAATACCTCTAGTCGCTTCATACCAGAGACAGCGGGAAGATAAGCGCCGTTCTGACGGGCCACTTGGCTCGTATAGAGTCTTTACCATCAACATTAACCGAACTCACCTTTTGACCCGCTGAGGCTTGACGGCGGGTACTTGGACGAAAACAACCGAGCTCGTGATCATAAAGTGCTGAAAACGAGGGGCATACTCCCTGGCTTCTGTGCCGTTCACATTGGAACTGGAGTTGTGTTTGGCTGGTGTTACAGATGAGTTGGTTATACTAAGGTTGATTGATGAACTGGCAGCTGTTGGAGTGATGGCTGAGGGACTGGGTACCACCTGTGTAAAGCTTGTGTCATTTCCAGAAAGAGAGCAACTCAGGCCGTAACCGCTGACACACTTGAACTGCCAGGTGCTGTACCGGTAGCTGGTATGAGTTAACAATAATATGCAAGTTTCTTAAAATAAATTATAGAAAGTCGACCTCTACCAACAACTGATTGGCTGATACATTCCGTTATAATCAAGAGATAGAAATGACATGTGTCTTTAAATCAGCTAATGCAAACGTAGAGGCGGTTTGGGAGAGTTCGAAATTTATTGTAATCTGGAGCCACAAGTGAGAGTTTACTTGATGAGTACATGAAGTTTACAATCAGTAATATCGTCACCAACAGTGCACCGGTTACGTCATAACTGCGCCTAGTTCAGATCATCATAACGACCACAGCGAATTGAAGCACAAGTTATATGATCAGAACTTCATAGTGACCAATCAACACGTTTGAAGGTTGAGTTAACAAAGTTAAGAAATTAGTTTTGACTCAATCTATACGAAGTGAAAGATAACTTGTCTTCAAACAGAACCGGCCGCTAATTATTCACAAAATTATGCGCGGTAAGGTTGCCTTGTATAATAATAGAGTTTTAATATAATTTCCAGAGGTGAATATAAGAATTGGACATTTTGATTTGTCGAAAAAGCTCATCATATGACGCTATATTCACCCCGCTAGAGCTTGGTTACTAAGCTCGTCATCTTTGCCATCCCGGCAAGTAAACATGGCAGACAGTTGCTGAATTTAGTTTTCATTTATTCCAAAGACATCACTCCAAGCCAGGATATTTGAAAGGGTGGAGAATTTTCAAAATGACTGCTGTCGCCCTTGGACCAAAAATCTTTTCAAGAACTCGTATTCAACGCTTTTAAGAATCGTAAATGAAGTGGTTGCGTCGATCGCTAGCAGGTCAGATCGATTGACCGAAATTTAGTTTTCTTCAAACTAAAGCTACTCATTTTTAGGCGGTGATGACAACTCTGAATGAAGCCAACAACGATAAAACAAAGGTACCGGATGAATTCTTACTTATTCCTAGTGTACCCAATTAATTTTAATTCGTATTCTTAACTGTACATTTTAAATTTCAATACATTGTAACGTAGTAGTGTCCCCAATTAGCTTCTGAAAGCTAAATACCTACCCTGACACTTAAATAAAGTTATTATTATAAGGTTCCATATATACATATTTTTTTTCTTATCTCCTCAGGTTTGTGAAAACAACAAAGTTGCAAAAATAAGAGGTTGAGGACGGATCAACCCCCTTTTCGAGGGCCTGGATGAGAGTTCTGGAATGTCTGTTGTCAGTTTTACAACTATTTGGCAACTTCTCATCTGTCAGTTAAAATTCCACATCAGTTAATTATGAATATCTCAGACCACAGCTGTAAGTTGATAAACGAGCAACTTCTTGGTTGGCCAATTCTGAGCAGTCAGTAAACTCTATCCAGATCTTCCTTTTGGACCTTTTGAGCTGTCGACAAGGACAATCGGCTCATGGCTAGCCTATCTTGCCACAATGGTTTTGAAAGACGATTAGAAGACACAGTCTATAGAAATTCGGGCTGATCATGATTAGAAGTTAGGTTTTGAAATAATTTATCAGAATAAAAATTAAAGCACATGAAACATAACACAAAACCGTGATATTACTCCTTGAACTGCCGCGGAATTCCGGGCACAAATTTGATGATCGGCTATTGAACCCGTGAATGCAATAGTCGTAATAACATATTTTAACTTCAGCTCACCCCTGCTAAACGGGCACCCTCGGGAAAATGGATAGCGGCCGCTTAAAGGGGGCTGGCCGCTTAATAGAGGTAAAAACGATAGAAAAGCCCTCATCTGGACTTTGATTACTGGCAGCCTAATAGGGGTGGCCGTTTGAATCGTTGGCCGCTTAATAGGGGTGCAACTGTACATCTGTATGTCGCGGGCATGGAGGGTTATTATGGGAAATCAGTCGTGGTTCTGTTAGGGGTTGAGGGGTCTTCATAACGCGATGAAATGCGAGACGTGTTCTGATTGGCTGAAACTGTAATATAAACACGGGTATAAAAGCAAAATAAACAGCAAAACAAGCAATTTTGAAAGACTTGAATTCCTTTGATCATTATTTTATCTGCGTTAACCAACATCCCAATTATTCATTTCACTGAAAAGGGTTCTATTGCAAGTCTAAATATTTACTACTCTCGCATCATGTTAGAAAGTTTTTAAAAGTTTTATTTCTTCTATCTCGTTTCAATCACTGTACAAAACGGTATTTGAATTATATCAAATTATACGCTAAATGGTATCAATCAACGCTGGTTGTATTTTTTCCAGGTAAATATTTTTTCAAAGTATTCTTGTAAATAATCTTAGGTAAACAATAAATAGCGTCAACATAGAGTTTCCACGTGATATCTTAAAATTATTTGCTTGTATTATGTGCATGGCCATTCTATTACAATTACACATCTCAAGTAAAACTTTGGAATGACTTTTTCCAAAAGATATAAACCCACAACAACGAAAGATAAAATTTTACAGAAGAATGTTGAATTATGCGTTCGTCACTTAAGCGGTGTATAACCGCAGACCGAGTTTAACTTTGCACTCTGGATGCTTTCCAATACCACTGATTTTACAAAGAAAAGAATCGAAGAGGAAATACCATTTAACACATCCATATGCTTAGGTGCTGGAAACAAACCTAATTCAATTAAATGGTCTATAATGTCCCAAGTCTAGTCTTGCCAACCAGATGAGCGACCTGACTGAGTGTGTATACTTTTGGTGATGCAAACTAACCTTAGAAAACCTGAACTTCGTATTTACAAACAAAACAATATTAATAAAACACTAAAATCATAAAGATCCTTTGTATTATTCGTTCTAATTCTAGTGACCAACAGTTAATCTCTCTTTCTAAAATTAACGAATTGTAAGCAGACAGGTTAGGAGAAAAAGAAAACATCATTAACCATGTGATCATCGTTGTTTTGCATTGCAATCAAGCCATATACGGCTGGAAGCGAGGCCATGAAAACCACAAATGTTACTATCAATTTGACAACTATTTCCTTACATACTGTTCAGAAGTTTAAAGCATAGACTTTTACGCCAAGGGGTTGAGACATTTTAAAAGAATGAACGATAAGTAAGAGATAATAATTATTCGTTTCATCAAGATCACCATAGTTCAATAAATTGCTAATTCCATTTGGTCCAAACTCGTTGACTTCTTTGGGGGCATTCCACCTCGCACTCTTTTCCACTTCATCCTTCGATTCTGGAACCAAACCTTGACTTGTCTCTCGGTGAGATCCAAACTCACAGCCACTTCGTATCTTCTTAATCTCGTCAAGTAGTTGTTTCGGCCAAACTCTCTCTCTAGCTCGTGAAGCTGATACTTTGTGAATACTGTTCTTTCTTTTCTTGATTTACTCAGTTTAGCTCCATCTATTTTTTCATCTAAAAGACACAAATTTGACTTTTATTAAACCCTGGTGCTCGATCGATGAAATGAAACTTATTCGCGCATTTCTTTCGTACGTGCGTTTAGTCTCTCTGTTGTGCAAAAAATATTTGCGTTTATTTAATTTTGAGCTTGGCTACACATAGTTGAAGCCCATGTTGTATGCGGCAGATCTCGAAAAGTATATGTTAAACCAGGATCTAATTTGTTCAAGAATAAAACAGCTGACACCTCGATCAGTTGGACCTTTACATTTTGTAATGCACTACGGAATCACAGAAGTGAAAGAAAATGAATCCCAAAATCTTTTACGCTAAAGAACTTTTCTACAAATCCTAAATTGTGATACACTTTTAGAGACTTAGTAGTGAAAGTAAAACGAAGACAAAATTTGTAAATCATTTGAAAGCAAACACGGTGAACAGGCTATATTATCAAAAATTCCTTTCCATTCGCTAGGTGCAACATCCTGCCTACATGGGTTTCATACACTTTTAGTGGTTATATTCTCTGGCTGTCAGTCATGCAATGTTCAAGTCTGTTAACTTTTTAGGACGATAAACTCAATGAGCATAAAATCGTGATCACGCTGACTCAAGAAAAAGTAACTCTTAAGTGTCGACATAAGAAGAGTGTTACATGACGAAGACGCAGAATTCGAAATGTCCTCTAGTTGGAGTGAACTCGCCAGTATATTGAAATGTCGGTTTTTGGATGGAATCAACCTGAGATGGAAAATTCCCTTTTGGCTTAGCTTTGATCGAAAAGCACACGTTTTGAAGAAAAATGATGTGTCTTTAAATACTGTAGCCGACAGAATCGCCTCGGCTCTCTTGTTCCGATTTTCGTGTTAATTGGCTCTTGTCAAATATTTGTCTTATCTACTTGTGTGTTTTGGGCCACTGAAATGGGGAAGTCTTTTCATCATGCTTTATTTCCCTTAGAAACTTGGAAAACACAAAAGATTGCCTGAAAGCAAGGCCTGTTCTGAGCTCTCTGTTACGTTTATTATTAGCCCCGACATCGATCAGAAGTCGGGAAGCCGGCGCGCCTGCACGCATTCAGGTTTTGCAAACGATGTCTAGAGGATGGTATGGTGATGAAATTTTTAACGCAGGAACGCTTTGCTTTGTATCTAGACAATAGCTGAAGGATGAATAGTATCGAAGAAGATATATGGCTAAACAAACTGAACATTTAACACTACCGAACAATGAAAGGTGTCCAGTAGAGTATGACAATGCGAGTATTTTGTTTGGGCCCAAGCTGAAGGAGATTTCCTCTTTAGATATTTGTGTGGGTATTTGCTGTAATTTCGTGTTCTACACTGTACTAAGCCCAGCTGACAGAGCAGAAACAGAAATTGATGAAATTCCACTTTCTCATACCTTAATTAAGATACGGACGCGTGCCATTGAATTGTAGCTTTAGGGATTTTTGTGCAAAGACCACAAAAGAACGAAACATTTTCTTTTTTAAAGCGTAGTTCCGACATGTACATCCTACACCCTGCTGTTTGAGTCACGGGATTGAAATGGCTGTACAACAGGACGCAGTAAACATTAAGAGCCGAGTTTACCAAAGAAATCATAAGAAACGGCATAACAAATTGTAATCATTATCTGGATTGTATCCTGTGAAAACGCCAGCTGATAACATTGTAAACACCGAGTTAAGTTTCTCATGTTCTCCGCAGGCGGATCAGGCGGCTTTTATTCCAGCTCAATCAAGTTGATTCTATCAGTTTGATGTGCGTTGGAAGATCGATCCATAAACCCGAACTTCCTTTGCAACCAAATTTATTTCAGTTGGACTCACAACATTTTTCGTCCAATAGTTTTTGCGCACTGAACCTAACTGACGGGCCACCGTCGTACATATCAAAACTGTTTTTTTTTCTCGTTTACGGCATTAAAAACGCATTTTCCAGATATCGATGTGCAATTAACAGTTCACAAGGTCGAGCTAAAATAACATTTAAAAGAAACAGGAAATTCTACGTTTTGCGTTGAGAAGTTTTCTGAAGAAAATACTCTCGCCAATCCAAAATCTCGAACTCAAACCTACCTTCGTCGCTATCCTCCAGTAACTTGTCGATGCATTGCTTTTTTTGAAACTCATTAGCGCAGTTTACTGTGTTCATGTTTGGCGGAGGAGTGGGAGGAAAATGCTGAAGCGTTTTTGTGCAGAAGTCGGGCCGTGAGGGTGTGTTGTCGGCCATTCTGATGCCGTCTACTCTTGCGACGTTTGAAACGCGCTCGCATGGCTGATAACTCGGAACACCAGTTGTGTGGATGGGTCCGGCGTGGAATCCATAAGTTGGAAAGCGATACGAGCAAGAGGAGTTCATTTCTGGGCTGTTGTACGCGTAAGGGTTGGGATAGGACGGTGCCTGATAGCCGAAATTTGTCGAGTAGAAATCATACATATTTGTATTCGCACTCGACGATCCGATGTTCTTTTTGCTTTGTCGGCGGCAGTTCTTTAAATAAGCCACCCTTTGTAAAAATCTGTCAACACGGAGATAGATACACTCTACGGTTTGAGGTCGCTGTCTTTGAAGTCTGCAACCAATACCCCCAAATGTCCATCAAAACGCGGCTTTTTTACAGTCGGAAGATCCCTGCGCGTCATATCTTCGGCACTAACGTTTAGCAGATAGGGGGAGTGAGGCGCGCTGAAATAGCGGAAATTGCTTGGACCGCCGCTATTTTCCTTTAAGATTGTTTAGATCATCTCTTGTACTCGAGGACGCCCTTGAGAAATCTCACTCTGTGTGCTTTTGCTAATTGCTTTCGAATCGAGCTCAATTGTTTTATTTGTCGCTGTTCTGCAAATATTGAAGGTTGTTTATGCAAAAGGCAATCCATTAGTCGCGTTTATTTACTCTACCTGTTTTCTGGCGCAGTTTATAAATTCCCACGCCGACCCCATCACGGCTATTAAAACGGTAATTGTCGTTTTTTTTCGTAAGATACCTTCAAACCTGACGAAATGCAACATATTCAGACAAATCATGGTTTTATTCCGCCTTGCAACACTTTGACCTGTGATAAACACAGCGCAGCGCCACAGTTCTCTACAGTTGCGTTCAGTCAAAAACTACAAAGAAACCGCCGATGGGACGCAACACTTCCTCCTCATCTGGAAATATTTATCCGCGGAGCAAGGAAAAGACAAAACAGTGACACGTCACGTACAACTTCTCAAGTGACATCAACAGTGAATCTCGTGGACGTGTATAAATACCGGCCAAAGGTTTCAAAATAAATGACAGGGCCAATGCGAGCTAATGCGCTATAGCAACAAATTCAGTTTATTTCAAGAGGGCATTTTAATACCGGATGTTGTCTGAAATAGGACCCTTGAAAACACTTGATAGTACTGTTAATTGCATTATAAAAACCTTGAGGACAGTCGTGAATTATGCCGACATTTTGCGCATCCACACCCTGGTTAAATTGAAATTCACTTTTGCGTAGATTGAGAGTTCTTTAGGTAGATATGCTCTGCGGAGATATCTCACTTCCAAGTTAAATGTTGCAATTTCCTGAATTTCATGTTAGACGGACTCGAACGATCGATCGAGAAGACTTAGANAGGGTGGAGAATTTTCAAAATGACTGCTGTCGCCCTTGGACCAAAAATCTTTTCAAGAACTCGTATTCAACGCTTTTAAGAATCGTAAATGAAGTGGTTGCGTCGATCGCTAGCAGGTCAGATCGATTGACCGAAATTTAGTTTTCTTCAAACTAAAGCTACTCATTTTTAGGCGGTGATGACAACTCTGAATGAAGCCAACAACGATAAAACAAAGGTACCGGATGAATTCTTACTTATTCCTAGTGTACCCAATTAATTTTAATTCGTATTCTTAACTGTACATTTTAAATTTCAATACATTGTAACGTAGTAGTGTCCCCAATTAGCTTCTGAAAGCTAAATACCTACCCTGACACTTAAATAAAGTTATTATTATTATTATTATTATTACTATTATTATTATTAATTTTTCGTGGTGTTTCGCTCGTTTCCTTTACTGCGGAACTCGATGAGTAAATTGATTGACAGTCGGAGTACATGAAAGCTTATTAGGGAGTTAAAGAAAACCACGACGACAACGACAACGGGAACGTCACTGAACAAAAGGTTTAATGAGCAGAACAATGGCTGTGCACGTGGTACATTTCTTTGCCGTCCTCTGCAAAACATCAACGTGAAATGACCGAATTCTGCCTTGTCTGGAGAACGTGAACGACAACGGCTAATTTTTGAAATTTATATTCCGTATTTAACACTGTGTTCCATATTCAGTTTCGAGGTAATTTTGACCGTGAGAAGCAAACTAAATGACTTTAGGGTATCGCGAGATTCGCAGGTAAAATATAAGTTCATTTTTTAACCGACGTTGTCCTCGGCGTCGCCGTCGTGGTTTCGTAAACTCCCTAATTATTAAAACTACGGCTGCATATATGCACACGAACAATTGCGTCTGTGCTTTTATGTTTTAGTCCGTTATTTTGTAGTCCTTGATATTCACCTCTGAATATTATACTTAAACAATTATTCGTCTCAGGCTCAGTGAAGATTGGTGAATATTCACCAATGTTCTCTTTGGCATTTAAAAGCTACGGGCATTCTACTTTCGGCAGTGATTACTGTGATTTTTACCTTATTTTTGTTCCCACTACTTCCATTTGAGGTACTCCTGCATATTGACCGGCTTCTGTGACAAGCATCTCAATTACCAGCCCGCTTGGGATTCCAGAGCACGTTCCTTGTTCTGAGGTTAAGCCTGAATTATTGCTTCGCGATTCACTAAAGAAAAGCAAATGAGGAGGCTTTTGAACTGTATGCTCTTGGTTTTATGTTTTTTGACTAGTAGTTGAAAAATATAAATCGTATCTAGATTCCAGGCATCTCTCCATGTCATAGATGTGTCTTCAATATTTAGCTCTTATTAACCGAGCAGGAGGTCTGTATGGGAGAACATTACCGGTCTTAGATGCCGGTCTAGATGGGAAAATCTAGACCGCTTTCAATATCGATTTCAGCCAATCAAATTCGTGAATTCGGTAGTTCCCAGTCCTTGTGAGACAGAGCCATATAATAACCTAAAATACTGATGTTGGACTTAGCGTCATTCTTGAAAAGTGTAACCGACTAGTATGTTAAATCAGGCACCTATTTCGATAAGGGCAAAGTCAATCTTACGTTGTTGTGTATCTTACATGGCTCGTCTTTGACATAGTTGCAGTCGTAGTGGGGGGACGTGAATTTAGACCACGAGCGCGCAAACTCGAATCATCACAGAAGCTGCCACACCGAAAAGGGAAGATAGGTAGATAAAGTCTGTCTACGAGCCTACTGGTCCATGAGGCCGGAGCTTATCCCGGTTTCTGTAGCATGAAGCAACCAGGAATATTTCCACTCTCCCCTGGATGGGATGCTAGTCCATTGCAGTGCTACCTACAGCATTAAGTTCGCCGGTACCCAATTATACACCTGGGTGGAGAGAGGCCTTGTGAGAGTAAAGTGTCTTCCCCAAGAACACAACACTGTCCCCGGCGGCTGAAACCCGGACGGCTCGATCCAAAGTCCAGCACACTAACCATGAGGCCATGACGCCTTCCGTGCCATTAAGGGTAGGATAATTACAAAGGTACTAAAGCAATCAAAAACTCACCAAAATAAGATTTTTCAGGGGTCCTTATCAACGCTTCAAACAATGAGGGACAGACGTAATCTCACCTTATTACTGGAAGCCAATCGTCGGGAAAAGCCAGGTCAGCGTTCCCAGTGCGGCCGACATGCGTGGCTTGAACCAGACGAGCCTGATTGGTTGACACCATTTCCTGTAACGAGGAACAGTTGTTTATGTCATCTAATGATAATCTCAGCAAACAGCCTGAAAATGAATTCTCGCCATAAAGGACTGGGGTGAGAGTTGAGCTCGCGCACAAGCTGTCAGAGCCTGGTGACCAGAGTTGGATTTTTCCAGCTGTGACCTAAAGGAATTAAAAAACAAACATAGAGAGACTAAATTCAAAGAGAGAAATGATAAGCAGGGGAGTAACGTCTACGTCTAGTTATGCATTACAACCATCCAAAATCAAATAAGTTGTAACCTTCTCATGTTTCAGCAGGCAACAATAAACGTGTGTAGAAGCAATTCTCCTATTAACTTTCTTTTCTCGACCAATCAGAAGTGCGTATATTTTTTGGAGCTAAAGCCCTTTCCCCGCGCATAGATAAGTTTAATTTTTATACGGTAATAGAGCGCGTGTTGTTCCTGTTGCCAACTCTCCGCTGGTTGAGAGAGACCTTTGAGATACCAAAGTCTGCACAGGTACGTCATCAGTCGGCAATTAACTGTGTCGAATCTCATTGAGCGGGAGAGGAAGAGCGTTTACAGAGATCATGCTTCTGTTTGTATGATCATTCACAGGTAGTCACCTAAGTTAATTTGCACTAAAATCCCATGCCAATTGTCCTAAATTCCTTGACTTTCCTTGGAGAACAATTTTAATACAACAGAGGTGTCAATCTCTTTAAATTACACGCGGATAACAGCGGAAAACCACACGGACCTATGACCTCTAACGGCTCTACTCTGGTGAAATGTCCTCCTAAAAACACAGGATTATTGCTTAGCAAAATGTTCAAAGACCCCCCTATCGTACCATACAAAAGGGGCAGATCCTTAAAGATATACTAGTTCGAGCAAAACTTTCAAAGCGGCTGTTACACGTGGATAGGAGTTGTGTAGGCCTGTCACCCCATAGTTATCATATACGCTGATTACAGCCGGAACATTCTGCGCAACTTGCTGGAATCACAAAAATCAAATCCTTCCAGAAAAATGCCGACCTTTCCAAATCCCGAAATATGTATCAATAGTGCAAAACTGACGAAACTCGAGCGCAAAATATCTCATGCTATGCTTCAACAAAGATTGAAGGAAAGGAGCAACGAACTTACCTGTCCTGAATTGTTCTGCAGGCGACCCAACACTGGACGACCACGCACATAGCCTGGGTTCCCTGAACGCTGAAAAGGAGTCTGACTGGCACTAGACGAGTTTAGCGCTGACGAGTGAAGAAACTTCACAGAAAAACTCTGGCTGAGAGTGCTAATGAAGTTATTAGATGTGGCGAGGCCAGAATTGGCTTTGATTTCTGGAATTTCAACGTCTCCAAGCGTCACTTTCGCCTGTACCGCGTCTACTCGTCTTTCACGCCATTTAAATTCGTATTCGACTTTGACCACCACATTGGAGCAGATTCTTGTTGTTTTGTTAAAAACTGGCGCCGGTGGCAAAGTCTCACCGTCATCAAAATTGCATCTTGCCGGAGTTTTATTTTCCTGTGTGTTTCTTTCAAAAAATGATGAACTGTTAACAGAGTCTTGTGATTGAAGGCTTGCCTCGGAAACATATTCGGCAACATCGGCACAGTAATATTGTACCTCTGTGGTTGATATCTCGGGTATGCCGCCAACAGTGTCATTAAGTCTGCCCTCAGCTAGCACTGCCGGGGGCAATGGGCAGGCGGGTCGACTGAGTTTATTGGGCATTATATAGTTCAAAGCGCTCCAAGGTGACTCTGAATCACAAAAAGACTCTTCCAGCTCAAGGACACAACCAGAAGAGACGTCTTCCAGAAATCGTACGGCTGCATTCTGCAAACACAAGCCGTTGAAAAAAGACTGTGGCAGATTAAGAATGCCAAGTGTTGCTCTTGCATAGTTGACGTCTTCAGTATTCGCAGCAGTTTTGATCGTTGTCCCTGCAGAGTACAAGCCACCTGAAAAGCTCGTTTGTCGTTCCTCGCTCTCGATAAAAGCGAAAACTTCTCTCTTTTTCTTATCAGCCAGCGTATTGAACGAAGTAGCATCCTGCGCTAAAGGAGGGGAGGTGAGATTGTAGAAGTAGCCAATCACCGGGCTGTTGTTAATGGTAACACAGAGAAATGGTTGCCAGTCTCTAGAGTCAGGCCAGGAGGCTTGGCAGCTAAATTCGAAAAGCTTCTCTGACGTGGCGCCTCCAAAGAATCCTGGGATACAAGTGGAGGTCTCGTTTTCGAAGTCAGTACAATCCTAATAAACAACATGAAAGAACAATGCACCATTACTCAAGCAACCCAGATGGAAGGAGCTGCCGATACGTCAAACAAACCTTTAAGCCAGACAACTGTTTTAAGGCGACACATAAAGCGGACTTTCTTTTGAAAGAACCGGCCGGATATAACTTGATTGTAGAGACTGTCATTTCGTTGTAGTGTTTCCGGTTCACGGGGTTTCTTACAAAAATAGATCAATGTATTATGACATAGACTGTTTTTTGGTAATACCTCGTCACAACAACAGCCTGTGTCGCAGGAATTTTCCTTCAAGTCACACGGACAAGTCAAATCTACATCAGAGACCAGCGTGCTTTTCCTTGTTCCACCTACAAACAGATGTTTGAATGAATGCTTAACGATTACTATTTTCATTTATATCAACATCATTTACCGTGTTACGAGTTGTTCTACCATGTATCCGAGCTGGACCATCATCTAACTATTAAATGTATGAAGGTCTGTACACGACTGCTACACTCTTAGTTATCAGCTCTCAGCTATCAGATGCAATCTCAACCCATTTCTCAGCTGTCAGTAAAGGCGAGAAAAGAGGAGAAATCGTTTATTTAATTAATACAAGGTAAATTATTGTTTGATGGGGAGTTCCAGCTTTTCCCGAAGCACGCTTTTCTTCTCTAAAGTATGAAAACAGCAACATTTCTGAAGCCTATTGTGCTTCGTGGGCAGGCAGACATTAGGGAGCTTAAGCAAACGACGGCTTAATGAGCAGAACAATAGCTGTGCATGTGCGTTATAAATCTTTGTACATTTCTTTACCGTCCTCTACAAAACAAGAACGTGAAACGACCGAGTTCTGCGTAGTCTGAGAAACGCGAACAACGACGGTTAATTTTCACGTTTTTAGAGCCATTGGCGTACTCAACAGATCTAGACAACTGCGAATTTCGCTGGTAAAATATAGGCTGCGTTGCTTTGGGGTGATCTAGATCAGGATCAGTGTGACCTTGGATCACTGATGATCACTGATGATGTGATCTTGATCCGGATCACCCAAAGGAACGCACCCATAAATTCATTTTTGACTAGGCGTCGTCCTCGGCGTCGCCGTCGTCGTTACTTAAGCTCCCTAACAACACAAGAGGGTAAAGTACTCAGTGCCCAGCTCAGTTAAACGTAGTTTATCCCGGTTTCCCTATTATTTTACTTACTCGTTATACTACTCCAGTCTATAGGTTGAAGTTTACGGAGTTCAACCCAAGTGAACGCCACCGCTGACTCGTTGGCGTACCGAAGGCTCAATCCCGTATCTTGACCGCAACACGTGACTCGCACCAGGCTCTGTGTGCGCCATGCAGGACTTCCAGACAGCGTCAAGCTTATTGTCTGGAATAACTCATCTTTCTAAAGAGTGAAACAAATTTCCAAATGACATGTTTTAATTCTTTAACATTTCCTTTTTCTGTGGCTGTTTTGAGGTGTTCAGATATTCAGATTTTAAGAAGAGAACAATTTCTTTTCAACAATATGTATATTTCAGCAATTTTGAAAAAAAGGAAATTGTACATTTATTGCGCTACAGTCAAGGAAATTCAAGCCGAGGGCTATTTAAGTTCAAACTAAGTTCTTACGCTTCTGAAGATGCGTGTTGTAACACACGAAACGTCAAGTTGAATATACCATGTGTAATCTATTTGTTATGTTTGTTACCCCTGTTTGTTTTCTCTTTCTCCTGAAATTGAAATGGCCGAAAAACAAGAATGTTTATGAAGTTATTACAACTTATGACAACCTGGCTGGGAAAATTTGAGTTAAATAAAGGTGGGTTACTTTTCATACCCTGTCAACTATAGATCCCAGACGTCTGTTCAAATTACTATTGATCCCAGAGTCTGCTGAAATGGCCTTTTTTCAGTCCATTGCACGCACCGTTGGTTTCATTCACGGATTCAAAAAAGTGATCACGTGATGACGAATTTTATGATCGTGTGATGAGTGGTGAATCTCCTGCTGTCAGGAAAGGTGCTTCTTAGTTTGCTTGCAAGTTTGTTGAGTTTCGCACTTTCTAATAAGATACAGTAAGAGAAGCAGAGAAGAGTTCGAACGATGTAAAATCCATCGCATGGATAAGATTTGTCTCAAACTTGATACTTGTGAGGAATTTGCAACAGCTGTGCTGCAGACTGTAGCCAAGAGATGTTTGTCATCAAGTGATCACTTTTTTTAATCACGTGAATGAAACCAACCGTGCGTAAAACGGCCTAAAAAAGCCATTATGCACATTCACTGATGGTAAGACTGCTAAGTTCACTGAAAGCGAAAAGCTCAGTTTAAATGGCAGCTATCAAATTGTATTTGAAAGCGTATTATAGAATACTTCTTCACATTACTGAAGAACACTTGGTCAAATAGAAATGCTCTTTTTTGGGAGCAAAACATCTATCTTGATTCTGCGAAGACACGTGTTCAGCCAAGGGAAGATTTTTGGAGCAATCAGAGTATTTGCTGGGTAATGAAGGTTTCATCTCTCTGGGTGGTGGCACGACAGTGTAGGGGAACGGTCTGTAAGAGTGTTAAGGATCTGCATGTATCATGTTCTACTTTTGTTATCTACGGTCAACAAACCTGGAACTGTATGTCTTTCTTGTCGAGCTTAATCTCCACAGTAGTATTAGTAAATGCAACTTGGTCTCTCGGGGAACCGAGGCAAAGCTCCGAGGTATTATCCAGTTGAGCCCCAGGGGGAACAGTATCCAGTGAACACGTGATGTCTACAGTGTTCTCAGCTAGTTCGTCTAGAACCAGGACCGCGCTAAAACTACCGCTAGGTACCCGGATGAAACCAGCTGGAGGGAGAATCCGTAACGGGGCAACATCCATAGCAAATGTAACAGGAGGCCCTGTGAGGGAGGGAACAGTTACAACAGCAAATAACATTAATGTACAGTGATATTCACGGATGCGCAGCAAATAACAGGTCAACAAGTGACTTTCCACTTTAATTGGCTTCATCAACTCATAGTTTTGAATTTGTTTTAAAGTATTTAGCTCTTATTAACCGAGCAGGAGGTCTGTATGGGAGAATCTTGACCGAGGTCGGGAGTACAGACCGAACGCAGTGAGGTCTGTACACACGACCGAGGTCAAGATTCTCCCATACAGATCGACTAAGCTCGGTTAATAAAATGTTTATTATATGGCAAACAAGAGAAAATTAATTTGTTTAATGTAACTGGTTTGTACTAGCTGACATTTTACTTGCGAACGGCGATGGGCTGAACTTAATTCTGCCGAACTCGTCCTTTACTTTTTTCCCTCATCAGGCTTCGCACTTCCATAATATGGATATTTTCTGGAACTAATATTTTGGAAGAAAATAGTCAATATTTTTGTATTTAGTTTGCAACTTTTTC